ATTACATTTTAAAATCTATTCAAATAGAAAGCAATTTTAAATAGTAAAAATATTTCAACATTTTACTGTTTTTGATGTACTTTAAATGTAGCCTTGGTGAGCAGAAGAGAATTCTTAAAAAAAACAAAAAAACAACAACATTAAAAATCTTACTGTTCAAAACCTTTTGACTGGTAGTGTAGGCTGATTATTCTTATAGATTGAAACAAATGTGCTTCAGCCAGAAAAAAGGGTATGAAAAGTGCTCCGAGTCGCTGCAGAAAACAAAAAAATTGAACAACAACAAAAACTGGAAATGTTGCTGGAGACGGGCTTATTTAAAATGAAAACTCATTCTCTGCCAGCAGGAGGCGCTTTTAGAGTGATAAAACTAGCGGTTTCTCCAGTAACGGCTGTAATCAAAGCAGCTCCGCTCATGAATGCTACTTTATCAGATCAAATGAAAATGCCATCGAAACTTTTCTGAAGACAGTCGGTTCCCTTCAGAGATACATTCATATAAAACACCCGCGCCGTGTTATGATTTTGAAACGTGCAGTGCTCATGTTTATTCAACGAAGTCAAACGGCACAAATAAATCAATGTATGGGAAACTGGTCATGTATATCGAAATATCGGAAATGTGTTTAAAAATCATATCACCGTTATTGAAAAAAATTATATCGCGATACATATTGATATTGAATTATTGTCCAGCCCTAGAAGCGTGTAATGTCTGCACCACTAGCGTCACTGATCAGAATGAAAAATCGAATGACTTTTCAAACAGGTTCCCAAAACACTCTCCTGTCTGCTGTTGGTCGGCAAACTCACACCATTGGTTGAGTCAGTGTGGCTGTCTCAGGATGGTCAGGATACAAATAGAAACAGAGCAATGTTTTGAAAGCATAGTAGTGTTTACACTTTGGGTAAAGCAACCTACGCATGGTTTGCTTATAGCTGTTTCTGCACAATAAACAAGCTAAAAACTGTAGAAAGTATTTTAACTCTGAAACGGTGACACCGTCTGGTTGATTGTCTAAACTATTTTCAACCTAATGTCTTTTAACAGCATTTGTGGCATGCTGTGAATTACCACAGACAATAATTGAGATGCATAATAGATTGGTACCATATTGGTTGTTGGTTGATATAAATTATTATTATTATTTTAATTTTCAGTAGCAGTTAACACTGGATATATTGGCTTCGATTGAATATTTAATTGTATATGTTAGTTCCCCTGCTTTTAAATATATATTATTATTTTGCCGTTATCTTACGTAATCCTTAAGTTATTTTTTTTTTAATTACTGATAATTTAATAACAGCAATAAATGTAATCTTCAGCACATCTCAAAATGAATAAACATTTTCATACAGTACTTTATAATGCCTAAATTCACTCATGGTGTTTAAGCCTGTAGTTTTTAGTGTTATGTTATTATTTTATTTATAAATTATTTTAAAAGTTTAATTATTTATACATTAATTTTCATGTTATTGTTAAACTTGAAACTATTATAAAATAATTTTTGTTAATTGAAATAAAGCTGATATAAAATAACATAAATATTGGATGAAAAACTTAAAACACTTAAATGAAAAAAAAAAAAACCCTGAATAATATAAAAATAAAAGCTGATTTAAAATATAATAGTATATAAATAATACTGAATTTAATACGGAATGATACTAAAATGCTAACACTGAAGTCTGTGTTGTTGTTACATCACTTATTTTAATAAATATTTTATTAAAAAAAGTTTTAAGTTTTGACATTTTTAATTGTCTGTCTTAATTGTCATTTTGAAATGTTTCATTATCTTCCTTCATGATATTCCCACACGGTTATTAAGTTAAAGTTAACCAGCTTTACTTTTACTTCCAGTGACATAGTTTAAAAAATGGCATGTCATTTTCTTTGCAATATTTTTGTTTATAGTTGCATTTTCAAAACCGTGTGATGGCTGCATATTTTAAATGATTATAAGCATATATTATATTTAAGTATATTACTGTAAGTATATTACAGTTTCATTTACTTATGCAGACTGGAGGTCGAATCAAAATGCTTATCTTTGCTAATTGACAGCATATCGTACTTAGACATGAAGCTGAGCAGTTGAGACCAGTGTTAAACTTAAAATGTTAATGAAATATCTTTTGATTGAATTGTCCGCTAACAGTCAGCTTCCCAGACGGTGCATATTTCAGTGTAGGTTTCTAGTTAGTGTGCCAGATCCCCACTGGAAGCTCTTCAGTTCAGACAGACATAAAGTACCCCAAAAGCTCTCTGCTCAGGGGTTGCCATGGTAACTCATGTATCTGGATATACCCTAAAGACACACTTTGGCTCTGTAGCGGTTGTCATGGGAACATGACTTGGTGGTTTTGGGATTTCTGTTTTTATGAAGTGATAATGGTTTTACAGCTGGGAATATGATCAGGGGAAAGAATTTGCTACGGTTAGAGCAGCTGTACATGATCGCAGCAGATTTAAAGCAGTATAACACTCAACTTGACACCTCTTATTTGTTTCCCACTGCTGAACAAACAAACATGAAAAGCATAAAATGATGAAAAATATCAAACAGAAGTCTCTGCCAACCTGTTATTTTTGCAGTGTGCAAGATAGCTGCTGTAATGCTGTATGTTTAGTGCTCACTATCCAATGTCCACCTTTCAACTAATCTGTTGGAGTGAGCATTATGTGAATGAGATAAATTAATAAATGCGTTTTTATATTTATACTTGTTTGAAATTGTTAAATATTTATCCAATATCACAGATGAGAGTCTTTAACTTGTCATTTAACATCATACTTGTGAAGAGAGGCTGATTCAGTTCTTGATGAAAAGCTTTATTTTAATTTATTACATTTACACCACCTTTCGAATGTTTGGGATTAGTAAGATTTTACATTTTGAAAGAAATTTTGAAAGAAGTTAATACTAGCAGTGAAGTGCTAATATCAAAAGTGACAGTAAAGACATTTGTTACAAACTATTTCTATTATGAATAAATGCTGTTTCGAACTTTATATTTATCAAAGAATTAAGCAGCAAAAACTCTTATCAACACTGATAATAAGATTTACAGAGTGATAGTGATAGATCATAGAGTGATTTCTGAAGGATCATGTGACACTGAAGACTGGAGTAATGATGCTGAAAATTCAGCTTTGCCATCACAGGAGTAAATGACTTTTTAACATTTATTAAAATAGGAAATTTATTTTAAATTGTATCAAATAAATGCATCCATAGTGAGCATACAAGACTTCTTTCAAAAGCATTTAAAAAAATTGCACTGATCCCAGACTTTTGAACAATAGTATGTTTTGTGTGTATTAAGTCTTTCTAATGTTAACCATGTTTTCCAAAGACAAAAAAAGCATCCCGTAATGTTTGTCATTCCACTTTCATGACTTTCTCATTCTCACATGCTTCTTTCATGTCTGTGTGTTGGACTGTACTGAATGTTTT